GACAGTCATGGTGATCAGTCTTTATCATCAGGTCTCAGCTCTCCAACTCGCTGTCAGAATGGTGAAAGAGTGGAACGCTATTCTAGAAAGGTGTTTGTTGGAGGTTTGCCTCCTGACATTGATGAAGGTACTGTGAACAAGTGATGTCTGCCATTGATAAGAAATGAGAGTTAGTTCTTTTTTATATAGAGAATAAGTAAAAAAGTGGCTTTTCCTAACTACGTTATGTGGTTAGTACTACTTTGTAACAAAAAGCACAAGTTTTAAAGTCTACTTGGAATTTTTGCTGATAACTGTAAGTTGGAAGGAGCTAAGAGTCTCTGGAGAAGAGTGGGATTAATAATCGCTTACAGGAATATTTTGTAACCTCCTTAGGAATAGCATTAGTTGTATCTATGTACATTCAATTAAATGAATGGAAACCCATGGCTAAATGAATGTGAAAAACCTCCCTCAGTAGCTCTGGAACACTCCATCTTGTTACCTCTGTGTCTCCATTCCCACCCCTACCAAAAAAGAAGTTTGCCTGCAGTTTAAATACTCCTGTCCTTCACTATAATAAATGGGGTTTTACCTAATAAATGCCTTCACGTACCCAAATACTTGGGTAGATCTAAAATTCTTTGCCTAATGTGATTTATTTTAATATGGGTATACAAACATTTCTAGCTTATTTTAGTTGTTTTTCACTCTGTATCTACTTTACCTATGAGAAATTATTTTCATGATGTTCCATTGTAGATATTCTCCAAGAATCTACCATTGACTGACAAGCTTCGTTAAGCAGGCATAGGAAATTTAAGGATGCTTCACAAAGGAAGGAAAGGCTTCTTTCTTTAAACAGATTTTGTTGTGCTTGCCTGTTGCCCAGACAATGCAATACATACAATAAAATAATAGTAATAAACATCAAACATTGGGAAGATAGATGGGTTGCTAGTGTGGTCATAATAAACACAATGAACAGAGGCCTTTTTTATTTCAGGTACATTTGCTTTTATTTAATAAAGAATGAACTTGTGTACAAGATTTGAAAATATATATTTTTCCTGAGCTATCTATATACAAAACTAACTGTAAAAGTAGTCTGTTAAAGTCTGTAAAGTAGAAGAAATTTGGGACTGGAGATGGTTGCTTAAACGTTTCTATAATGTTGAAAAAGTGATGAAATTGTTTGGTAGTCTACTTGCCTCCTGGTAGCTATCATTATAAATATACTCAACCAGAATTCAAGATTGCAGTTTGTAGCCTTATTAATAGATCAAGCTGTTATGTTCCATAGTTTGAGAGAGCACCAATCCAGAATCAGTACCCTAAATCTTGGTTCAGATTCATCTCTAGTTATGTTTTGTTGTGGGGGAGGCAAGAAAGTATTAAAGTTTTGATCTGGCTTTCACCTTGATGGTAATACATGATTTTCTATCTTGTAACAGTGTTACATGTTTGCATTTAGTCCTGTTGTAAAGTCGCATTAGTGAAAAGCAAAACCGCTGAAATTTTAAACAGTATAGTAGATGTAAAAGCAAATCATGTTTAAGAAATATCATTTGTCATTTTCTTCTGGGTTAAAAGCATCTTGAAAACCAAATTGCTAATGTATTTTAAGCAAGAAATGTTTGTTTTGCCACTTCTGTTGTTAAGCTTTCTAAGTTTTCTCATTTGTTTTTGTAGATGAAATCACCGCTAGCTTTCGTAGGTTTGGACCTCTTGTGGTGGACTGGCCTCACAAAGCTGAAAGCAAATCATATTTTCCACCAAAAGGTAATTAGCTTAAAATACATCTACACAGGGTGTTCTGGAACAAGCAAACTCCAGCTACATGGTAGCCCATTTAAAAAAAACTTTCACTATTTAAGATGGTGGCAATCTCTCTTGTAAAGATATCCATTGTATATCAAAGCGAGAACGCAGTACATTTAACAGTAAGTTTTGTGTTGGAGGGACATGGGGAGTGCGATGGTGGGGGGGAGGTCCCCTTGTTTTCTAACAGTGAAGAGAGTAAGCCTTGAACTCATTTCATTTGGATTCTGTGCTAGTGGAAGTTTATTTTCCAGAAAGTTTTAGGAATTTGGCCTCATTTTAGGTTTGTTTAGAACAAGGGTTGCAAAAGTTCACCAACAAAGTGCTCCACGAACTTCGTAACTCTACATTTGTTAAAAACAGCAAAGAAACTAATATAACCAAGACTTTCACATTCTTAAAGCAGTGTTATTTAGATTTGTTTTGGAATGAGGGGAAAAAATTGGGGAAGTTGCTTGGCTAATGCACTCCTCCCCTCATTGCATAGTAGCCACTTTCTACATTTTTTTAACTTTTATGCAGCGGACTTTCTCTAGCCAATCAAACTTCCATTACCACATGTGGCTTGGTAGTTCACCACCATCTGAAAGTAGTACAGAACTAATCAATATTTATGGTGTTTATATTTGACAACTTCCCATTTCTTCTGGCACCAAAAATTCTCAATTGTTCTTTGAGGGAAGGAGGGAAGCAGTTGGGCAGAACAGTCCTACTGTTTAGCCACTAAGCTAATGATCCTGCCATTCTAGATTAGCAAACAGCTGCATTTTATTGAAAAGTTTTTCAAGACCTTAGTGCAAGGTAGCTTTGTTGTAACAGATGTTGCTTGTAAATCCCATTTTAGGGCATTTCAGTCTTAAAAGAAAACTTCTTTACTAGTGGTTGTTATGAAGCATCTGCTTTTGGACAAATTAGATTAAATGGATATATGCCTTTGACTGTAGTTCCTGAAAGTTTTAATCTGCCTTTATCGTGTGATGTTCAGATTTTTTTTAGATTCTTTCCAGTTGTAGCTTCTGTAGATTGTACTTGACCTAGTATCTTCTAGGCCAGGGGCGGGCAATTATTTCAGGCGGAGGGCTGCTTACCCAGTTTTGGCAGGCTTTCGAGGGCTGCATGGGTAGCCCCGCCCCTTGACAAGTGCCCCACCCCTTGGTCACCATCTTGGGCCCAATGTCCCAATGTCTTGGGACTGATGTCCCAGGGTCAGCACTGGTGGGGCCTAAAGCGGGGCACAAGCTGGCAGGGGTCTGTGGAGCCAGGCTGGGCTGCACCAGCAGGGAAAGGGGGGAGCTGGGCCGGCTCCATAGAGCCCCTGCCAGCTGGGACCCCGTGTTCCTGCCACCCTGCTCTGGGCCCCACCGGTGCGGGCCCCATGCTCGTGCTGGCTCCCGTACCTGCTCACTCCGTGCCCCCCAGCCCTGCAGTACAGGCGGGGGGCAGCACACAGTCCTGACCCCCTGCTCTTTGGCAGGGAAGGAGCTGAGCATGGGGAAAAGCAGCCCCTCCCCTGCTGGGCCTTCTGGCTGGGGGGGGTGGAGCCAGGTGGGCCTTGCTGGTGTGGGAGCCCACTGGGATTCCCATGGGTCCTACTGCCTCTGGTTCCTGTCATTTTTGACAGGAACCAAGGGCAGATTAATATTAAACTTTGTAAATTTTTAGGGGCCCCCTGGGCCAGATAGAATGGCCGTATTTTGCCCACCCCTGTTCTAGGCCTCTCAAAGCTTCATTTTGCTGTTATGTTTTGGATAACAAACTAAAAATGCATATTAACATGAGCATTTATTAGTTATTATCAAATACAGTCTATATTGTAGAAGGCTAAACCCATCTGCTATCCAACTTGTAAAAATGTTTTGAGTAAGGTTTATTTTAGCAGAAGATAAGGGGAATGCAGTCTCTCTCCTATTTCTGTCATGATTCTAATATTGGAAACAGCTTTCAAAGCTTCTGCCAGTTGCCCTGAATGTCTGTCTGAAAGTGCTAAACAACAGTCAGTCCCAACTGTTTCAGATTTATTTTTAACTTGCTTCTTAGCTATCAGTCAGGACTTCAGCATCATACCTCCAGCTGCTTGTCTTTAGGATATACTTGCAGTCAGGTTAAGTTTGATCAAATACATTTGACTTGCAATATATATGAGATCATAATTTATATGGAAGGAAGAAGAAATCTTATTACTTGGAGTCAATCTGTGAAGCTTGAACAAGACTCATCGTTTTTCCCACTTTTTAAACCTATATCTTTGATATTTTTACTGCCAGTGGTTTTCCTTTAAAGACTGCTTTGAATTTTGTCTGGAATGGGACCTTTAAAACATTGTTGGAGCTAAAATACTAGATCTTTAGTTCTCTGAGATTTCTGTAAATTTGAAGGGTGTTGCTTTAAAAAAAAAAAGTTTAAAAAAACAAAAAACACACACACACAACTCGGCTTTTCAGAAATCATGCCTGGGTGCGTACTAAATGCGGTGAGACCAGTTCTTGCTCGAAAGTTAATAACTCGCCAGATCACACACCTCCCACATCCTCTTCCAGTAATCTCCCCCCACCCACTTCTGTCTTTACTTGGAATCTGAAACTTGTGTTTAGTACTCTTAAGCTTGAAGATGTATATGCTTGTATAGTCTTCAAACTCGGAGTATCCTCAAAGGGCGTGTTTAAACCCCTTGAAATAAAATCAATGAAATAAAGTACAAAAACAAACCAACATGTTAGTTTCTGTTAGTGAAAGGATAGGATGTTCTATAAGTTTCTGCATTTAGTCTGTCAGCATTAGCTGAGACATTGCCCTGTTGTCTTAGCATAGCTTACTTTACCATACTTCCAGTTTCCAAAAAGAAGACACCTGTTTTGTGTGTTTCAGGGTGGGGGATAATATGATTGCCCAGGGGTGGTGATATGCCAGTGCCCTGCCCCTGACACCCCATCTTTGCTGATGCCCCTTACTCTGGACCCACAGCCACCACCCCCACCCCCAATGAGCAAGAACAAGAGCAAGGGCACCGACCCCCAGTGCTGCTGGCCAGGCCACACAACTCCCTGCTGCCCTCAGAGGGCCCCCCAACCCTCTTCCCCTGCTGGAGGGGCAGGCGCCTCTCCCACCTCCCCTGCCCTGCTGCAGCCCCGGTGTCTAGACAGCTTCTCCCAGTGCCAGCAGGCACTTGCCCCCCCATCACACACACATCCCCTCCCATGCGCACTCACAGCCCCCCAGACAGTCCTCGAGCCCACCCCTGCCCTCCCATAGACTTACCTGCATCCAGCTGCCAGGGCTGCTCCCACCACTCTGCTTGTCTGCATGCCAGCCGTGTGTGTGTGTGCACATGCAGATACACTTGGTACCCCTTGCCTCCAATTGCCCTTCCCCTTCTACCCCCAACACGAAGCAGCTCCTTGCTAGAGCAAGCCAGGATGTGCCAGGAAAAACTTCAGTGCTGAGCAGACCAAAATCCTGGACATTTGTTGATATTTAAAAAAAACCAAAAACCTGCCTGGATGGAGATAAGAGGACATGTCTGGGAAAATCTGGGACGATGACTGTGTTTTCCTAATAATGGCCTTACTTATTATTCCAGTATTACTATAGTGTCAGAAGCCAGGGGACTCCTAACTGAACTCATTAACTTTGAACTTACAACAAAGTTAATGATTTTTTGTGAAAGGTTTAGGTGATGCAGTAAGGCAGGGCTGTCCAACTTTCAGGCATCTGGGGGCAACATATCCCGTGAGGGACTATCTAACGTGCAGGCTGCAGACCTGGGGTCTGCTTTCTGCATGGACAGTTCTCCTTTCAGGTTCTCCCCTGCTACAAGGGCAGCCTGCTTCCCTTCCTAACCCCCTCCCCCATAGTACGGCAGTCCAGCTCCCCATCACATGCATAGCCCCACCACATGGTTTACACACTTGTAAAGGAAGGCAGCCAGCTCCTTCCTTTGTCATAAACACCATGAACAACAGCTCCCTCCCTTGGCATGTGTGCAGCATGCCGGCCCTGCCTGCTCCACATCCTCCTGCTGTGTTGCATTGCACTGCCCATGGGAGCTGGGAAAAAAGTAGAAGCTGAAGGAGGAAGGGGGAGACTGAGTAACCTGGATGTCACAGCAGGAGCAATGGTGAGTGTGGCAAGTGGTAACTGGGAAGGAGCCTGCAGGCTGTATGCTAACCCTTGGGAGCCACATGCAGACTGCACACTGCCAGTTGGACAGTAGGGCTGTATGAAGCTTCAGTAGCTAATTTGATTTGGAGGAGATTCCGCCCGATTTTTGGGGACTGAATCTGAATTGAATGAGGAGACTAAGTAAAAGCTCCAAATCGATTGGGAAAAGATTCAGCTGATTCAGAGATTTGGCCATAAATTAAACAGGCAGCTGACAGCTGCCTTCAGCTGGTAAGTCTGTTGGGGTTGGGGGAGATGGGAGGGAAGGAGGGAGGATTGGGGCTGGGGCTGGGACAAGCTGCCCAGCCATTGGGGGGGTGTGGGACATGGGATGCGAGCGTGGCAGTGCTGGGAGCAGGGACTCTGTGCTGCTGCTGTTTGCCCAGCTGGGGTGCAGGGGCGGGATGTGGCTTGCTCCAGGCAGAAGGGGGGCAAGTGGCAGCAGGTCATAGGCCCTGCTCCCAGCGCTGCTGCACCCGCATCCTTTGCCCCCTGTACTGGCTGGCAAACAGCAGCAGAGCAGAGCCCCTGCTCCCAGCGCTGATGCGAGCATGGCAGCACTGGGAGCAGGGGCTATGCCCTGCTGCCACCCAGAGTGAGCTGTGCCTGCACTGCACCCCTTCCCCCCTGCATTGGCTGGGCAAGTGGCAGCCAGGGCATAGCCCCCGTGGCTCCCCCTGCCAGGGCAGAGGCAAGCACAGCTGGAGGAGCCATGAGAGAAGCTCCCATGGCTGCCTAGCCTCCTGACACCTTGGCAGCACTGGGAGCAGGGGCTATGCCCTGCTGCCACCCAGAGTGAGCTG